CATGAACAAAATTGTTGCGTAAAAGTTAAGGAAAATGAGAAAGACGACTGAACCCAAAATACAGAATTCAGATTCTCAAATACAGTTTGTTCTGCTCTCGCTTGCTGGTGGTATTATTGCCAGAGACAACGATGGCAGAATTATTTTCCTGGAAAGATCCTTCAGTTTCCCAGACCAAAGTCTTCAAAAAGAAATAATCCATCCCATCTGGCTCTTTCCATCCATCAGGGCAAATCTTACCCCTTCAATCTGAACTACAACAAAACATCTCTTACAATCCCATTGCAGCCTCACAAACTTTAATTCTCACACTTTCTTCTATGTGTTCCAACTGGCTCATCAACTGCCTGCTACTTATTGTATCTCTCTCCTCTTCACTGCAAGTCTGTTTGTGCTTAATCCCACATTCTCCACTTCAGTCCTACCCCAATGCTCTGAATTTAAAGTTGATTTAGAGATACTCCACAAGGCGAGGGGATAAAGGAACAGAATAACCTTTGGCAGCTCTCAAAATGGTGGCAACACCACTTTTGTCACCAATGTCTTTGTAGTGGTACAGCTACAGCTTTGTTACAAGTAGCACAGCTTGGAAGATTTGGTTTACGACCAAAACATTTGGTAGTTTTGGTAGAACTGCACCTTGCTTTGTCCTGGGACTTGGAAGCACTAAGCCCATCAAACTGACACAAAGACTCAGTGAAATCAAAGCAACTGAGCACTGATTTACTGTGCCAACGCACAGCTGACCAAGCACCTCAGAGTCACACCACAAGTACTTCAGGACCACTTTGAATAACATATACATAGTGCATCCTCAGATGTGAGCAGAAGCTCCTCAAATGCTATAAAGATATATCTTCTGCATGGAAAAAATATTGGGAGTCAAACGTGGACATATGGGAGATAGAAACTAACACAATCTGTTTGAGACAACCAGTTCAGGGTACCACAGAGAATGTCTGTGAACTTTAGAAGTAATGCTAAATGCATGCAGGTTTGTAGGACTGGAGATTTACTTAGTTTTATTTAGCACTGAGCAGGAAAACAGTTTTTACATTGATTCCAGTGGAACACTAGAACCACATTCTGAGCAATAAGGAGGCAAGCAGAAGTCCAAATCTAACATTAAATGGATTCAGTTTGGGGGAAATTGTCTTAGCACAAGTCTTGTTCCTGGACGGCCATTTCCATTCATATTATTTATGGCTGCTGAAATTAGTCAACATCATCCACAAAATATTAATAAAGTAAATGCAGACCAGTTTTTTCAGCATCCCATTAATTCACGACAACATAGTTCCTCAGATTTTTTTTTCTGTACTTGCAATGAAATAATATATAAATACATAGATTATTTTTATGACAGTAACATTCATTTGATGGTATTTGAATGCAGGGAAAGAAAGGTCAGGGCTTGTCAGTTTAAAGTACCTAAAGGAGCATTTGAGTTGTGCTAAGAACCAACAGAACATTAAAAGTATAACAAACAATTTGAATGACATATTGGGATTTGAATGTTCAATCAATTTTATTCTTAGAAGCAGTTAAAAATAAAATTTGTTTAAAACAGAAAGAAGAAAAGCAGCACATCTGAAAAACACACACTAAAAGAATTCCCTAGAAGGAGAAATCTAAGATGTTTTCTGAAAGCAGGCCTGGAGAATGAGTAAACTAAGATTGAAATCAAAGAGAACTTATGGCTAGAACAAGGAGAGCATTGGGGGAAAGGAGGAGAAATGGTTTTGTTTTAATCTCATTTGTACAGGGAAAAAAGCTGACAAAATCTATACCAGGTTATTTTGAATTTGTTATTTTTGGTGAAGTTTCTGCTGACATTTCACTTTGCTTTCTCAATTGTCTCACATTCCTGAGCACCTGTATACAAGAAATTCTACTAAAAACTCTTCTTTGAAACTACTTTGTAATCCTGTACACCTCCTACCTCTTCAGCATAAGTAATTTGAATTCACAGAAAACAGTCAAGTCAAGTAGTCAAGAAAAGCAAATCCAAAAGTTTTTCTAAGAACAAAATCAAAACCTTTAGAACAGAAGGATGGTGGAGAAAGTGACAGTTTCTGCATCATCTCAGCTGTCAGACAAATATATTCTACATCTGCTTTTTTGACTAATTCCCTCTGTAGCAAATGAAGTGCAATGCAAGCACAGTGGCCTCCTATATTTAGATATTTGTGGGGTTTAGGTAAACATAGTGCTAAAATTAAGGCTCCTAAAACTTTAATTATAATTCTTTGAGCATGTTATAAACCTTACACTAATCAGTGTAGTTGAATACTTTTTGACAGTTGGCTCAGGAAAGACAAAGCCTACACTAAACAGGGAAATGAAAATCAGGCTTTTTGATAACAGCTGACATAAAGCAGTTAGGAAATGTTTGACATCTACAGCTGTTCCATGATTTAGAGGAACCATTTTATCAGCAATCTGAACACGGGATCCAAAAGGGACATTTTCCCATCTTCATGAAGGATTAGTTTGTCTGACACAGCTAAGAATCCCAGAAGCAGCCTGTAATAACCACAATATTGCTCCTGAACACGAGGGTGCCACACACTCCAAAGCCTGATGTGAGGAAGCTAAGCAGCACTGAATAGAGAAAAGAAGCACAGTGTCCTTTATAGCCTCACATCATTACAAGATGCTATGATCGACTTTTCTGTAGCCTTAACTGTCAAAAAAATTATAGCTGAGTCATCCTTCAGTTCACTCATGGACTCCTGCATTTGCAGCAGGCATATTCTTAAAAAAAAAAATAAATAAAAAATTTAAATAGTGAAAAATAAAAATTCATGTCAACCAAGATGACAAATATATTTTTATGTATTTGCCATTTGTTTGGAAGGAATCAGGAACAGTTTTCCATTCTGTGTGTATATGAACTTCAGTGTATTTACACTAACAACAATATGAAAGTAATATTTAGAGCATTGCTATGTTTCTTCCAGCTGAATTTGAAAAGTAAAGAGCATACCCAGCCACTCTTACAGGTGTCAAAACAGTTTTGATCAGTTACAAAAAGTAGCTTCAGTAACAGCTCCTGGATGCTGCCTACCAACAATAACAATTTTAATTATCTGTACAAGCATCACTGAACACTGGATCAATGTTTTACTTTATCAAGTCCTTCATCTTCATTATTGGATAAATATGTCAAATATATTAAATGTGTCACAAGTGTAGTGGAGATCACTGCAGACCTCCAGCTATGGGATGAAAAGGAAACCATAGGTGTCATGTATAACCGCTGAGAAAACTGATCTCTGCCATCTCTGGTGCCCTAACCACAAAACTTTAGTCAAGAGCTTCAAACTGGCTGTGTAGTGTGGCTGTCATGAACATAAACCAGATCATTTAAAAGGAGAAGACCCTGCAATTCTTTACCCATCTTTCTTACTAACCACTTTCTTGTAAAATGCAT